TGTTGATTTTATATCCTGCCACTTTGCTGAATTCATTTATTAGTTCTAGTAGTTTTTTTGTAGACCCTTTTGGGTCCTCTAGATATAGAATCATGTCGTCCGCAAATAGTGATAATTTAAGTTCTTCTTTTCCTATTTTTATGCCTTTAATTTCTTTCGTCTGTCTAATTGCTCTGGCCAGTATTTCAAGAACTAAATTGAATAGAAGTGGTGATAGAGGGCATCCCTGTCTTGTTCCAGATTTTAGAGGGATTGCCTTCAGTTTTTCTCCATTTAGAATGATGCTAGCCTGAGGCTTAGCATAGATAGCTTTTACCATGTTGAGGTAAGTTCCTGTTATTCCTAGTTTTTCTAGTGTTTTGAACATGAAGGGATGCTGTACTTTGTCGAATGCTTTTTCTGCGTCTATCAAGATCTCTTATTTCTTAATCATCTTTTATTTTCTTCTCCTGCTCTTCTGGTGTTCTGTATAGTTTTTCTCTGCTTATTTTTAAAGACCATGATAGTTTTGTTAGAAAATTGGTCAGGATTATGGCTTGTGTTTATCAAAACTTCCAAGAGAAAGAAAAAGCACAGTAATCATGATACTGACTACATTTCACACAAGAAAGAAACCCTGGATGCGTCTCACTGGTGATGGCAGACACTGCTTATCTCTCTGCGACTATCCAAATCATGGGAAATAAATGGGTCCTCGTGGGGTATTGCTCTCATTTTTGTCTCCTAGGGAGATGTGAGTGAGAATAAAGCAATAAGTATAAACTTTCCCGTGGTGCAAACTCTCTGACTGTCAAAGAATATACTTCTGTCCAGCAAACACAATCACTAGGCAAATATTCAATGAGCTATATAATGACATTAAACATACAAGTGTTTGAAACAAAGAGCGAGTCAAAAGGAATATTAACACTGCAGTGTCCATGACAATTAGGAAGGTTAGATGATATAAAATTATTCTTTTAATTCTTTCTTTAGGTTATTAAACTTCCAATGTACTAGATTTTTGCGGGGGAAGGGCCATATATGTCTTAGTTATTTTCAAACATGTAATTTAATATTTAGAGATTGTAGTTTTCCAAAATGAGTGAAAGAGCTTTTGCTAACTTTACAGGATGGTTTTTGTAATCTCTGTAGTAGCCCATTCAATCTAATTGTGTCTATTTTAAGATCAGTTCTCATAATAAAAGGTAAAATATTGTTACAAAGGATAAACTTTAAGAAAGTGATGTGTTCATGATGAAATAGCATGAAAACAAGTTGTGGTTTGACTAATATCATCTTTTTCCTTCCTTTCAGGAATGCAAGAAGGTGGCCTCTCATGATAGATCCTCAAGGTCAAGCTAATAAATGGATCAAGAACATGGAGAAGGCCAATAGTCTTCATCTAATTAAATTAAATGACGCTGACTATGTCAGGACTCTGGAAAATTGCATCCAGTTTGGCACTCCTGGTACGTAGATGAATGACAGGCATACATTGCGGAATGCCTAGAGAGGGCACAATTAACCCAAAACCATGTAGTTGAATTTCTTGTTTTTAAATATATGTGTTTCAGACTCACCATAACTGACAACTTTGTTAATCTCTTTGATTATTAATAATCAAACGAGAACTTTAGAGATTATAAAACTTCCAGAAGGTTAGGAGGTTTTCTTTGTCAAAAAAAGTTCATGGTTGGGGGCTGGGGATGTGGCTCAAGCGGTAGTGCTCTCGGCCCCGGGTTCGATCCTCAGCACCACATACAAACAAAGATGTTGTGCCCACCGATAACTAAAAAATAAATATTAAAATTCTCTCTCTCTCTACCTCTCTCTCTTTAAAAAAAAAAGTTCATGGTGATGCTTCTCTAACTTAGCTATTTTAAGTCTTGTAATTTGTTTGCTATTTATTCATTTTCATTATAACTCAGCTTTAGCAATTAAAAGGCTCACTTAATATTGCCAATAGTATTTTTACATAACATTAGTATAAAATTCTATTTTTTTTTCTTTTGGACTTTTCCTACAGAGAAGAAAATACAGATTTTACATCTCTGGCTCTATCTGCCATTTAGATTAGACACATGACATGGATTTCTCAGTCAAGCTCTTATGCAGATGTCACAGCTGTCAAAACAAAAAACAGAATACTTATTATTTAAGTTAATTTGGGTTATTAGTCATGTTTTGAAATTCATGCACTCCATCAAATTTTGACCAAATAAATGTAAACACTTATGAACCTACAGCACATTTAATTTGAGGACTATTTCAGCAAATCCCACTTGCTTTAAAGCTAGTACAATATGGAAGAATTATAATAAACACACCAGTAATCACAGGCATGTCATTTTTCCATATTAATGAGTCAGTTTTCAAATGTGATTTTAGGTTCTATTAATGTAAGCATGAATGAAAAAAGTCTAAATCTACCTATAACATTTTGTGTTTATGTAATGGACACACGCAAGCACATGCACATATTATTTCATTCATTCAGCTAGTATTTTTAAATTTTTAACTATTTTAAATTGACATGTAAAAAGTGTACATATTTGTGGGGTAACATGATGTTTTGATACATGCTAATGTTCAAATCAGGCATTTACCATTGCTTTATTCTGAAAACATTCAGAATCCTTTTCTGTAGCTTTTAATATATATATATATAATACATTACCATTATCTATAGTTAATCTACTATGCAATAGTGCTTACAGTATGATGATATAGGAGTTACCCAATAAGGGAGGATAATCTCTACTATCAAATATTTATCCTTATTTGACATCAGGAATATCTATCTATATCTATATTTCTTTCTTTCTATCTATCACTATGATAAAAATAGAATGTGGCCATTTTTCACTAACTCTTATTGTGACCAGCATACTGTCATATACAGAGACACAGGCTTCTGGATTCAGAGTACCTTCCTCTGCCACTCAGTGTTTGGTTCAGTGACTCAGTTTCCTTATCTGTATTTTAACCATATAATATAAGGAAAAAATTAGTTACTGTATATCGGAAACTAAGAACAGTGTCTGATAAGTGCTCAATTTATGTTGTATGTGTGTGTATACTTCCTTCAGTGCTTTTAAAGCTTGACCCAGTATCAAACTCAGGGCCTTGTGTATGCTAGCACATATTCTACAATTGAGCTGTATCCCCAGCCCTGTGTTTTGTTTCTGTTGTTGCTGAGCATTTTCTAAGTGGTGTCTTGTCTTAAACTATAACAAGTTTATCAACTATAAATTCACAAGGTGACACGACATGAAGATTCAGAAGAATCAGATTTCTTGAAGGAATTGGCACCTTCAATACTTTATGTAATTAAAATTGCTTAATATAAATATTCAAATACTTTTCTCAGCATAATAAAAGATAACTAAATGGTAATTGAGCATTTACCATCTGCTAGGCACTCTGAAGATATTTCTGATCTCAATCACATATCTTGCTGGTAAAATTTTATAATTATAGAGGAGAAAGGGCCATAAAGATGATCTATCTAGTGTTTTTTCAAAGTATGGGTTACAGCCATGGGAAAGACTAATTTTGTGGATCATGACCAATAGAGCAGAGTAGGTAGCATTGTACAGAGGAAGGATAAGCATTAGTTCAGGGAATTTTTTGTTTAACTATTTATATGAGTAAGTATACTAGGTCAAGATTTAAAATGCTTTTGAGTTGTGACCATACAAACTTGAAATTCAATAAAAATTCCAACCACTTGATTTTACTGAGGTACATAGGGTGTTAGAGAATGTTACATAGCTGAACCAAGATAGTATAGGCAGTTGAGGGGGTAGGGGTACTAAAACTAGCTCCCAAGTCTCCTGCCTCTGTCCAGTCTTCACTGTGTCACACAAGTAAGACTGCTTTGGGTTGAATTAACCTATATTTTGAAATGAGTCACTTTATAAATGGTTAATGATTTATTTATCATGTCTTCTAACATTAATCATCAGAAGTTTAAAAAGTTTTAATCCCTTCTAGAAAAATAAATAGATGGTAGGTTTTAGAGCTATTTGTTTATGTTTAACCATCAAGTAAAAGAATCAGCTACTGATATAGTTCTAAAACACAAGTGGTTAAAGACTCTTCCATTTAAGAAGTTATTTTTAGATGGTGCTTCTTCAGGGACAGTGGCTTTTGATCTATTGTCCCTTACAGGCAAGAAGGCAGAGGTTTTTGCCTACTTCATCTACCTGCCTCTGCTTCAACCAAAGCCAGGTTTTCCTTTTCTTTTTTTATATTGAGTTTTAAGATAAGATCCTCTTTGAGAAAAAGTACTGTGCTTTTTTTAAAAAGTTTGAAAGCCAATGTTCTAGAAAATAAAATTTCATCTGTATTAGCTGTATCAGTGGATAAGGTATGCATAGAATATTAATCAAATAAATATCACTGATAAATCAATTTATATAGAAGATCTTTGAGTGATTTTCCATTGAATCTATGGGAAAATTTTTTATTTTTAACAAAAGCTATCATATACCTTCCTTATTTTCTTATCTCTTAGCACTTTACTTTTTCTCTCATCTATAACAAATCAAGGATGCAAAATTCCTTGTTTTAATATTTGTTTCATTTGCTTGTTTGTTCATTCAACTAATAAACATTTATTTTGCAACTACCATGTACCAGGAGCTGTGGTAGACACTAAAAAGACAGCAGATCAAGACAAATTTGGTCTCTGCTTTCATGAATCTTATTGGTTTAAAGGGAAAGGCGGGCATTGAAGATGAAATGTGAATTAAAAGATGGAAGTACTTGGAAGCAGGCAATACTTAATAGCGCTGTTTCACATCTTAGTTTCTGTCTGTGCTCTTCCATGTATCTGGTGAATTCTTTTTTTGTCTTTTAAGATACAACTCAAATGCATACATTTCCTAACCTCTGCTGTATATGTGGCCATCTGACTATGGTTGGATTTGGTCAAATGACTATGTTCTGGCCAACAGATATAAGTGTAATATACAATTTGTGACTCTCAGTAAGTATCCTGAAGAGGATGTTTCTTTCTTTTCTGCTTCTTTTTCTTTCTGATGGGTAGAATATGTATGTTATTTGAAAGGCCATACTGGCCAAAAAGATTAAAACAACCTGTCAAGAATAGTGAAATAGCCAGGCATGGTGGCATATACCTATAATCCCAGCAATTTGGGAGGCTGAGGTAGGAGGATCATGAGTTCAAAGCCAGCTTCAGCAACTTAGTGAGGCCCTAAACAACTCAGTGAGACCCTTGTCTCTAAATAAAGTACAAAAAGGGGCTGCAGATGTGGCTCAGTGGTTAAGCACTGCTGAGTTCAATCCCCAGTACCAAAAAAAAAAAAAAAAAAGAAAGAGAAAAAAAAGAAACAACAGGTTATGGGAAGTTGGGTACTTCACAGTTTAGATACACTGACCTTCCAACCCTTCATTTCCTGCACTATGTGAGGTTCCTCTTTATATGAGGTATATATTCCCTTTTGTTGGAAAAACTATTATTTTGGGAATTCTGACACTTGAAAATGGATCCAACTGTAAATATCATACCCTAAAGTGGAAAAGTGGGCAAATAATATTAACAAATAGTTTACAGAAAAAAATATATACTTAGTCAAAGAGCTCCTAAAATACCCTGCCCACGTAACAAATTTTAATGTTTTACCTATCGAATCAGTTTACCTATTAAATTGTAAAATCACTTGTAACACACATACACACACACACACACACACACACGTATTATAGAAGTCAGTATTTCATGCTGACAGTATCACATAGTAGTTAAGAAAGTGATAGAAGGACCAAGATTGCTAAGTCAAGTCTCTGGTCATTTGCTACTTATCTTACCAAGAAATTTATTTCAGTTGCCTGTGCTTTTTTCATCTGCAAAACTGGGGTAACAGTAGTCCATGTTTTTTAATGTTATGAGGATGATGAAAAAATATAATGTCCACAAGATTTTCAGTATTTGTAATTATAGTGATTATGTAAAAATAGGTTTAAAAACAAATAACAAAATGAGTACTCATTGCAACTCCAAAGTCTCTACAGCTTTTCAAGAAAAGAGTCAGGCAATATCAGGAATTTTAAAATATTCTTAACAGCAGACCATCAATTCTACTTTTTATACCATAGCCTGATAAATAATCAGAAATGAACACAAGGGTTTATTCATTAATAATAGTGAAGGGGCTGGGGTTGTGGCTCAGCACTAGAGAACTCGCCTAGCACGTGCACGGCCCTGGGTTTCATCCTCAGCACCACATAAAAATAAATAAATTCTTAAAAAAGATATTGTATTCAACTAAAACTAAAACTAAATAAATATTTTTTAAAATAGTGGAAAATGGAAACAACCTTGATAATAGAAGATTGGTGAATTTAATGTATTATTAGGCACTCATATTATTTAACCATGAAAAATAAACATTTTATGAAAAAAAGAAGGAGGAATAACACATGGGATGAGCAGAATATTTCTGTACTTTCACTGCAATAAAGATCCAATTGTCTGTTGTGTATAACAAATTAGAACAAAATTAATTAATTAAATATCTAATTAGCTGTCATCTCAATGCCCTCGCCCCCTCTTTCCTATCCAGATTGAATATTCACTCTTTCAAGGGACTCCTACAAAGTACCCTCATCCCAGTGTGGCTATGATAAAACCCCAACAGCAAAATGTTAAACTTTAACTTGGCAAATGTGTTAAGTCTAACAGTGTCACCAAATTTCATCCAGGGATTCCACTTCTACAATTCTCTCAGAAGAAAATATTCTGAAACACAAAGTTTTGTATATAGTACTATTTATTACATGGAACTGAAAAAAAACAATCCAAATCTAAAATAATAGAATGACAGTTAAAAAGGGAGGGAACACTTATATGTGTGTTAGAGTTTTTAATAACACAGGGAAATATTTACGCTATAACATAAAGCAAAATAATTAGGATACGAGATTCAAAATATTGTTTAGTCTTAACTACATGTGAGAAAAGATGAATAAAAATACTGAAGATAAAAAAGTATTTTCTTCAATAATTATGCCATATATAGTTTTGTGTCATTTTTCCATCACCTATAGATGGTATGAATCAATTATATTAAATAAGGGGGAATAGAGAGAAAGATGAAGAAAATCCAATCAGAGATAGCTTTTTAAATTCCTTCATTAATATCTTTCCTGTATGTTCCAGCTATTCTACAATAAGCACAAGATTTGTTAAATTAAAAATACAATCACTATTTAAATAATCACAACCAGAGGTGCTTTTTCTCTGGTGTCACAGATGGATAGATACACCAGCATCATTCTTGGTTTCACAGTAAATCACAGGCAGCGGGGGCAGTATTCAACAGGACTGGTTGGCCTGGTTGACTCTGGGTATGGAAACAGGCAGGATGACTAAGTAGACCCCCAGTTCAGACCTTCCCACAGGCATACAATATTGGGTTTGGGCATCATTTTCATATACATGGAAGAAAAACATCATTTTTTAGAGACTAGGAACAGAAGTAATCTAGGAAGCAGGAAGCTGAAAGAACTCAGAGAGTAGACAGCTTATAGCCAGTATTTAAAATAACATGGAAAATTTTCTTCTGGTTTTACTCCAGTGATGCTAGAAAATGTTGGAGAAGAACTAGATCCTGTCTTGGAACCTCTTCTACTAAAACAGACATTTAAGCAGGGTGGGAGTGTATGTATCCGGCTTGGGGATGCTACAATTGAATACGCACCTGACTTCCGCTTCTATATAACTACCAAGTTAAGAAATCCTCATTATCTTCCTGAAACATCTGTAAAGGTTTGTATCTAAGATAAATGTTTTTTTTTTTTATCAGTTTTTACAATTAGTGACTATTACAAATATTTTCCTCCTGAGCCAGAAGAGGAGCAGGTCTTCCTAGGAAAATGGGATTTTGTCTTTTTCTTTTTTTTTTTTTGGCATTTCCTGAGATTCCTATAATAATTTCTAAATGTTGCTTTTGTGCATGCATGTGCGTAATGAAAGAATCTTTACTATGCTATGAAAAAAAAACTCATCAGACTCTAATTTCTACAATTGATATTATTCTTAGATTTTCATTGTCAAAAGTAGATGACATATATTCACATTCTTTCTTTATAAAAATTATAATATGCTAATTATTGGAATTGGAATTTAAGAAGAGAACTCTATTCTTTCTCAGGCTAAGGTTGCTGCTATATGATTTTATATAATTACTTAAAAGAACTGTTTTTAATCGCTGTTCTTTTAAAATACTAAAAATTCCTTTAAGGAGTAAAGTTAGTTTAAAGTTTTATTCAATGACTAAAATGACTTGAGATGTTGCTCTATTGCTGAGCTCTTGGAGGATTAGATAGTACACCTTATTCTGGCTTTTATTCCTTAGTGTGGTTGGTATTCAACAAATGTTTGTGGGGTGAGTGAATGAGTGGCTTTCATTTACAGAAGAATACAGGAGATGGCATTAAGAAATATTGATTCAGAGGATGGGACGTGATGGTAGATTAGAGTGAGACAGCATGTCTCCTATCTCTGCTACCCAGAACTGAAGCAGTGGGAATACTACTCCCTGAGGATTAGAGTAAAAAATCCTGAGACTAGAGGGGCAGTCTGTTCTAGCAGAACTAGAAACTGACTTATTAATCGAATCTGAAAAAAAAAAAAAAAAAAGAACCTCTCACCTTGAGTTTATCGATCCTCCATGGAGAACCAATTCAGGAGCCATCTGGGGAACTGGAAACCCAGATCTGTGAATTTGCAGCTAGGTCTGTGTGGGCCTGTCTGAGCCTAGCAAATTCTTGGAAAGTCAGAAACTAGGAGCATTTTACCCCAGGGGAATGAACTGCAGGTTAGAGAGGCTTGAGAGAGAGCCTGGCTCTCCCTAGCCACATGGGTCCTGCAGCTCTCAGAGACTCACTGAGATTGGAAGGTCAGGAGATTGGAAGAATGGGTGTGAGGGCATTTGGCTCTCAGCTCACCTAGCCAGCTGGTCCAGGACTCACTGGTTCCCAGGGCTCACCTGGGCCTGCACTTGCCAAGTCCTGGCACCAGCCTGGCCCCTGGCTCCCTCCCCAGTCTGGCATCCACAGGTCCCCAGGACCTACAAGGTCTGGCACCAGTATGGCACCCACCAGGGCCCTCTGGCTGCCAAGTTCCCAGTCTCCCAACTCCCTAGTACCCAGCCTGACCCACCACTCTGCCTGTTAGGCCCACAATCTAGCTGCTGGCCCATAGCCCTACATGCCAGTCTGTGCTACCCTGCCATATCTGCCCCGCCCAGCACACAGCTTCACTGCCAGCCTGCAGGACCCAGCATCCAGCCCTGACCCACCAGCCCAAGCCAACTGGGCTCCTCGATGTGGCTGGGCTGCTGCATGCACCACATGCTGCTTTGCCACCAGACCTGCCTGGTCTAGCACACAGCCTCCCTGGCAGGCCACTTCACCTCTAGGCCTGCAGCCTATCCTGCCTAATCTCCCAAGGATGGAAATTGGGAAGTTTTAAACCCCAATCTTCAACCCAGTGAGCAACACAATAAAAAGGAAGGATGTGATAACCCACAGCCCATACTTCCAAGTAGTTCATACCTCAAAAGAATTAAAAAGAAAATCAGATAGGCACATAGAGTAAACACATACACTCACTGAATATTGTGTCTACCATGGTGGATATGACTCCTTAATTTCCTAACAGTTAACTAAGCTTTTGGTTTTCTCCATTCATTATGGTTTTAGTTCTGTTTTGAATGTCTATATTAGGTTTATGTTTTATTTGAATGTGTATTGACTGATTCAAGAACTCCTACACATATTCATATTTCTTTCTCTCTCCTCATTTCTAGCCTCTTTTTTGAGTTATTTTCCTATGTTCTATATTGATTAGTTTATTTTAATTTTATATCATCTTTGACACTACTCTATCTCCCTTGTCTCCCTCTCTCATTTTTTCTGTTTCTCACACCCAATTATATTCTCTCTCTCTCTTCCTTTATATTCTTCTCCTTTTTATTCCCCTTGCACATTAACAACATATTTTAAGTAACAACTGCATCTCCCCTATTCACTCTTTAAAATTGCAAACACTCTTCTACCTTCATATCTCTTCTTCTTTCCTCATACTCAATTCTGTTCTTAACACTACTTAATACTAATTGAGGTATATAATGTCTACACCTATCATCAATGTCACAGCAGAAGTCATAGACAACACCTATTGTTTGATTTTAATCCAGACATAATGCATTATTATATATTGTTTTTAATGATGGAAATTGCTGATCCTATCTCTACATATCATACCCATTAACACTACATATCAAAATAGGAACTAGGGACCTAGTCTATTGCTATATATTGTTTGCATACATTGTTGTTACTCTTGGGCTCCCCTGCCCTAATCTGTGAGGTACCAGTAACATGCAGGGACACTATAAATTGGTAATATAGAAACTCTATAATATCAGATCCATCCAGATAGATGAGTAGACACACAAATAATATGAAAAAGCAGTGTAACAAATCATCCCAAATAACATAAAATACCTCAACAGTAGACTCCATTGACACCACAGTGGAGGAAATGTTAGAAATGGAATTCAGAAAGTTCATGATACAGTTGATCTATGAGATAAAAGACGATGTAAAAAATGAAATCATAGAGAAAATACAAGAAGTGAAAGATCATTTTCATAAGGAGATAGAGAACCTGAAGAAGAAATAGTTGGAAATCCTCAAAATAAAGAAATCAATAAACCAAATTAAAAATTCAATGAAAAACATCTCTAACAGACTAAACCACTTGAAAGAAAGAGTTACAGGCAATGAAGACAAAATATATAATCTAGAAAATAAAGTTGACCATTGAGAAATGATGTTAATAGACCATGAGCAGAACTTCCAAGAAATATGGGGTAAAATGAAAAAACAAACTTTAAGATTTATTGGGATCGATGAAGACTCAGAGATATAAACCAAATGAATGTACAATCTTTTCAATGAAATAATAAAAATTTCCCAAACCTTAAGAATGAAATAGATAACCAACTACAGAAGGTCCTGTAACCTCAAATGTACAAAATCACAATAGATCCACACCAAGTCACATTATTATGAAAATGCCTAACATATGGAATAAGAGTAGAATTTTATTTTATTTTATTTTTTTAAAGAGAGAGTGAGAGAGGGGAGAGACAGAGAGACAGAGAGAGAGAGAGAGAGAGAGAGAGAGAGAGAGAGAGAATTTTTAATATTTATTTTTTAGTTCTYGGCGGACACAACATCTTTGTTGGTATGTGGTGCTGAGGATCGAACCTGGGCCGCACGCATGCCAGGCAAGTGCGCTACCGCTTGAGCCACATCCCCAGCCCCAAGAGTAGAATTTTAAAGGCCACCACAGAAAAGCAACATTTAGAGGGAAACCAATCCAGATCTCAGCTGATTTTTCAACCAGATTCTCAAAGCTAGGAGGTCTTGGAATAACATATACCAAGCTCTGAAAGAAAATGGATTCCAGCCAAGAATACTATGCCTAGCAAAATTAAAATTAAGATTTGAATATAAAAACCTTCCATGATAAACAAAAGTTAAAAGAATTCACAAATAGAACTCCTGCACTACAAAACATACTCAATAAAATATTTCATGAAGAAGAAATGAAAAATAAAGGTAAAAACTATCAAAGGAAGGGGCTACACTAGAAGAATATTCTAGCAAAAATAAAAACTAATTCAAATTAAAAACCAAAAATAAATCAAAATGATAAAAATCATATCTCAATGATAATATTAACTCTAAATGGCCTAAACTAATCAATCAAAAGAGATGGACTGGCAGATTGAATTAAAAAACAAAATCCAACATTATTCTGTCTCCAAGAAACTCACCTCATAAGCAAAGATATCCACAGACTGAAGGTAAAAGGATGAGAACAGACATTATTCAGATGTATCGCTACACAAGCAAGGGTTTCTCTTGTCATAATAGGTAAAGTGGACTTCAAGCCAAGGTTAATCAGAAGGAACAAAGAAATTCACTTCACACTGCTTAAGGGAATTATACATAAATGAAGACATAACAATCATAAATATTCCCAACAGTGGAGCACCTGCATACATCAAACAAACCCTTCTCAATTTCAATAATCAAATATACCTCAACACAATAATATTGGGTGACTTTAATATGCCCTTCCCATCACTTGATAGATCCTCCAAACAAAAACTAAATAAAGAAGCTATTGAACTAACAAATGCAATTAATTTATAATTAATGAATAATTTAGACCTAACAGACATATATAGAATGTTTTATCCATCAAGGACTAAATACCCTTTCTCTCAGCAGCTCAAAGATCCTTCTATAAAATAGACCATATCTTAGGCCACAAAGCAACTCTTATCATATCTAATCTTTTGTATTTGCTATCTTGCATTCTATCAGATCATGATGGAATAAAATTAGAAATACATGGTAAAATAAAAAATAGAAGTTATGCTATTACCTGGAGACTAAATAATACACTATTAAATGATCACTGGATAGTAGAAGAAATCAGAGATGAAATTTAAAAAAATACTTAGAGGTAAATGAGAATCATGACATGACTTATCCATATCTATGGAATACTATGAAGGCAGTTCTAAGAGGAAAGATCACTGCACTGAGTGCACTTTTTCAAAGAGTAGACAGTCACCAAATAAATAATCTAACATTACATCTCCAAGACCTAGAAAAAGAGCCAAAATCAATGAAATTGAAACAAAAATACAAAACAAAAAGATGGTTGTTTGGAAAACTTAA